ACAAAATTTGTTAGTTGAAATGCAGAACTGTAAAAAGCATCGGAGCTAGAAAATCTTTACAAGTGGTTGAAAAATTTTCATCAAAATCAAAACATCATAAATCAAATATATCTAAATCAAGTATCAAAATTGTTCGCGCAAGAAACAAGAGTTTCTCTTTGCAAAATCTTTACATATTTTTTTCACGAAATATTTTTTTAACTTTTTCGAACTGGTTTTTTATAAGTCACAAACCAAAAATGTTATTGCACATTTGTATTCTGACATTATATTAAATTACTTGGTTAGTACCAGCACTTGTGAGGTTTGTCCAAGATAGCCGCTATACAGGACCAGAAAATCTGTTTGCAAACGTAGCAAATAGATGTATCTTGTCCTATTTATTCAAATAATAACAAAAGCATCAATCTTGCAATTTCATAAGAAAAATGCATCAGCCATAGTATTTTTATTCATGTCGAAAAGTGAAGCTCTATTCCCATTACTTTAGGTATTTTTCACTGACGACAGCACACAGCAGTACCTTAAAAATGCTTTCATTTTCCTGCCTCAGTCTACCATACTTGAAAGAATCCCATAATAGTGGTGCAAAACATTCTACCTTGATAAGAGCAGATTAATAAGAACACAAGAAGAGGCGTAACTAGATCTATAAGTTGGGGGGGGGGGGTGTGAAAAGGGGTTCTGCCCTGCAAAAATGAGTGGTGCCCTGCAGACCTCGAAGCACAGGTTCGTCTATAGGTTGCTAGTGAAAGCTTTACCAATTTACATTTCTCTTAACCAAGGATAAATTTCTAAGCAAGTAGAAAAATTTGAACTTAACTGCCCACGAAGTATCTATTTATTTAAGTGAGCTTAAATACAATGTCAAATTTGATTTTGCTTTGTAAAAAAGCTTGCAACTCACGGCATAAGTTTTCGGCTACATGATAGGGACTGCACCAGGGAACGGACGGCATTTTTCTTAAATGCAATGTCAGGAAAAGAAGTTCATTGCAAATGTGATAGATCCGTTTCAAAATTCCTAAACGATCCTTAACGAACTTCAGAGGTGGCGTTCCTGTGCTGCAATAAAATTCTTTTTGGCGTCCTGCAAAATCTTTGATGGACATGCGGCCCTGAACACTATCCTTTGCTATGATTGCCAAAAGTCTTGGTACACTGGTGTTTGTTTTCAAGGTCAAACTCAGAGCCATCCCCCTCCCCCCGAGGGGAAAATTGTCGGTTTAACATAGAGGTCGGTCTAAACCATCAATACTGTTCTAGGGGGAAGGAGGCAGAACTAGTTTTATTTTTCAGGAAAATATTTTTCGCTAACTATTTAGGAAAAAATAAGAAAATCGCAGCCGAAGGTTTTTGAGAAATTAAGAACAACCAGTCTGAATCTCAATTTACCAGTACTCTAACTGTCAACATCGTGTTATCAGTGACAACATAACACAGGAAAATCTAACGGGAAAGCACGATTCTATCATTGGTTCCTGCAGGCTGATATGACGAAAGGGTGGCATAATCACTATTCCATTATCTTTGATTTGACCATTTCTTGGTCGCAACGCTAATGTCAAGAATTATCGGTTATATGAAAGAAAAATAGAGAGCATTTGCAAAGTTGTTTGTAAGGAGGCTACAAAAGGTATCAGTTATCAAATAATGTAGGGACGGTCTAAAAAGACGAATAACCGCGATAAATAGAAGCGATAACAGACTTTTTATGCTGTCCTCTGCAGGTTTTGTAGCAAAAGTGCACTGCAAAGGTGGCTGCGGGGCAACTGGCGCCATTGCTTTGAAATGTTACAACGGCCGCAGAGACGGTGCCATGACCTAGACTGGCGACTACTTATGTCTGGCTTCACCGCATTTGTCTAAAACAATAAGTTTAAGTTGATTGGTTAATATTTGATCCTATTCACAAAATGCTATTCGATTCCACTCTCGCCAGGCGAACAGTATCAGTGTTTTAAAGTATAAAACAATGGGGCGAACAAAGCTGTATTTGAGGTGACTCAACCTGCGCTTCCGTTATCTGATCAAATGGAAAATCAGTTCACTTCTTTTGATTTCGCACCAGTTTCCTGTTCACTCTCATCTTCTTGATTACTGTTTTCATGAGCAAGCAGGAATAGACTGGTTCAATATTTAGGGCCTGTGCGAGTTTCTAGAAGGACCATGGTGTGTTTCTTGAAGGGGTATGGGGGCAGGCAATGGCGGTGCCAGCCACTAGGCTGTGGGGAGGGGGGCAAAACAAGAATTTTCAAGTCCATTCATTTTAGCATTAGAAAATGCCCTTTTACCAACAAGGAACGTCAATTTTACATAAAGGAAACGCCCATGGCTAATTTTTTGCTATGTAAAGGCAGTTTGAAAAACATTGGATTTCATCACTAATAGTGCGTCAACAAAATATTACCCCTCTTTCAACTTTTTTAAATCGCATTTAGACGAAATACAAAATTGATCCTGCCGAGAAATGGCGGGCGGGGGGGCTGCCAGGGTGCATTCCGAGCCGAGGCCTTCCCGTCGGAGAGCGATTTCCCAATTTTTTCACGGCAAGGTTTTTGGCGGAGATCTTATTAGTTTTATGTTCTGGCGGGCAGTTTTGGCGTGGTGTGAATGGTCATGGCAGCCAGCAGCCAGTTCTCTTCTACCTTCACAGTGCCGTCGGAACGAAATTCATATTGGGGGGGGGGGGGGTGTCGTCCCTTGATTCCTTCCCATTTATGACACTGTTGAAAAGGAAATATACTACAGTCTGACAATTATTGGGGAGGGCTCCAGCCCCTTTTGAATAAGACAACTAAATCCAACAACAGCCATGAAAATTACGTTTTTATTACATCTTTTTCAGCTTTATACTATTTTGGTCAATATCTAGTTCAATTATCTCTTTGAACACTGTGTGGTATCTGTATAGGAATGTTTAGTTGAATTTACTTGCAGTCTGTTCTGCACTGGACAGCCATAAAACAAAGTTTACTTTACTCCTTAATCTTCAAATGATTTTTGGATCAAACAACACAAACATTGAGAAGAGCAGTAAAACGCAGCTAAAAATATAGAAATTACCAAAAACAGTAGCATTCAAAATGTTCAAGAATTTAAAAAAGCATTATAAAATTGGGAATCTTTATGGAAAATCTTTGTCCGAAAATGATTTTTTTCAAAACATAGATTACGTTGGCTGCGTACATTTTCCTGAAGAGCTCAGCTCAAAATGGCGTTGGCGTGGAATCCTGCCATACCCAAATTCCTGGCGGGAATATCTGGCGGAGAGAATAAATGGGATGCACTATGGCAAGTACCCCAGTCAAAAAAGGCAAAGGAGTATAGGTGGGAGGGCCACTTTGTGTCTTTTTCAGCAAGTCAAATTGTGTAGGTTTGCCTCGTTTCATGGATTTTCGCTAACAGAAAAGAATTTACCACAGTAAGGCATTTCTGTGTCTTTTTTACTAAATACTAAGAGGGGGCATTTTTCTCCATTGAATATCATAAAATTTTCTGCAAACCAATTGCTTAGCTCAACAGTGTCACTTTCTAGCATTAAGATAACCACCTGTAACTCTTGATGAGAACAGTAAATTGTCGTACCATCTGCATAATTATAGATTTTAGTCTCATTTAACAAAAGGAAAATATCATTGATCAATATATGAAACAAAAGAGGCCCCAGAGCTGATCCTTGAGAGACACCTAATTTAATTTCTTTTCAAGAGCTGAATGAGCCATTTATTTGACTCCTTGCCTTCTACTTGTTAGATAGATATGCACCATTTGTAGGCATTTGTACTTAAGCCGTATGCATTCAATTTAGGAAGTAAAAGTTCGTGGTTGAGATAATCAAAAGCCTTGGATAAGTCCATTAAGACTGCTCCGACAAAGCCTTTGTTGTCTAAGGTCTTCTTACAAGTTTCCACCATCTTTAGCAAAGCATGCTGGGTATTGTACCCCTGTCGATAGCCACAAATTTTAGGTGGGAGAAAATTGTTCACAATAGGTAACATTTGATTAGCCAAAAGTCTTTCAAAAACTTTGGAGACAGACGGTAATACTGTTCTTGGTCAATAATTTTTTGTGTGAAACGAGTCACTATTTTAAAAAAAGCGCACTAACATAACTGTCTTTCATTTCGTCAGGGAAAAAGTTGCCATCCACACTTTTATTGAAGAGGTCTAGCAGGTGGAGGCAACTCAACATCATCTTTAATAATCTTAGCAGGAATACTACCAATAGGCGAAGCCTTCTTAGTATCGAAGTTATTAACTTGCTCAAGAACCTCTACAACTGAGGCCTTCCTGAAGTTGAAAACCTCAACATTGTCATAATGGCTTTTTATCAAAATTATACTAGGATGAGAGCGGTATTTTTCGATGGCAGCAGTGACTGGATCTGAAATCGCATCACCAGTTGATACATTTTAATCATTGTCTGCAAAATTCAATGATTTTGTGATATTACTGAAATAGTCATTCAATATAGTTGCAACAGCTCGGTCTTCCGAAACAATCTCGTCGTTTTCCATCAAAATAATTGTAGAAGAAGTTTTAACCTTGTCATTGAAAAGGGGTTTTACTGATTTCCAAAACTTCTTATTATCCGCCAAGTTCTTGATGTCAAGATCTTTATAGTAATCCTTTTAAGCTTGTCGTAATATTTTCGTTGCTTTTAAAAGCTTCAAAATTGTCATCAGTACGATCTTTGCAATATCCATTCCTGAGTCGGGTTCTGTTCATAATTGCCTTCCTGAGTGCTTTGGTCATAAATGGGCCATCATTCGCTCTAACAGATTTTTTCTTTATTGGTGCATGAATATCCAGCACACCCGTAACTATAGCGTTGGGGGTCAAATTTGCTGTAGTCACGATAAGTAATTATCCTAGAGCCTCTCTCATTTAAACATAGAACAACTGATGACCAGGTTAGTTCTTGTCTCTTGGCAACAAGACCGTGGCTCAACGCTGAAAGGGAACGGGCAGTAGGTAACAGGAAACAGGTAATAGGTATGATAAATCGATTTCCATTATTCACCGGTAGCACTCATTTAAACATTAAAAACGCTAAAAGGGTACAGTCAACGACAATTCCGCCAGTCTTCGTTGAGATGAAAAAGCATCTTCAATTGTAAGAGTTTGCTTTATGTTTTGGAAGAAAATCAAAGTTCGAAGGAACTGGGCCAAGAAGCATTTCACTAGAACGAAGAAAAGATAAAAGTTAATATTTTAATGTCTGCTTTACAGAACATGAAAGTAAATATATTCTTTTGAAGCATATAAAATCACTACTAATATCACCAAATAAGCAATAATATTCTCTAACTTTCATTGCACTCATTGTGTGATTAAACAATGAAGAGCGAAAAAGTATTCGGCAAATCAAAAGCAGGAAATACTTGGCATAGTTGATTTATTCTCTAACATAAAGGGTAGTTTGCCCTTTAAAAAGACAGTAAAGTACCTCATATAATAAGGACATCACAATCACAAAATTACTGTTGCAAAAATCAATGATGGAAAATTAAGTGCAAAGTGCAACCTAATCTTTATCCAATCTGCACAATTGCTGCTCGCCATTAATGTTTCCAAATCATTTCTTCCGACATATAACGGTGGACGTGCGTTAATTTTTTGCGGCAGTGTTTCCAAAAGCCCAATAGGAATGTATCTAGGTATTAAGATGAAAATGATAAGGCAATAATATATAAGTGGAGAAGGATAAGGTATGTCCAGCCTTGAAAACCTTGTGTCGTCTTCGGTAAGACAATGTTGCTGCTTGACGAGAAAAGGAATTATTAGCCAAAATAGATCAGGGTAGATATTCAATGACAGCATTGAAAATGAACTGAAAGGATAGATAGATCAACCATAAGCAATCAACGTTGGGAAAACAGTGGCATTATCTTTAAACTAGGTGTTGGCAACAACCATTATCAGTCTCTGTAAGTAGGCAAGCATTGAGATGAGAATAGTTACAGCAGAAGCTGTATATGACTGCGATTATTTTGCTCTACTGCCTGCAAACAGTCGTTGATACAACGTAATAGGTAATGTCACCACAAACTTAAAATGTAAATACAAGATACGTCTAAACTTCTTGCTTGACTGACCTATGCAGAAACGAGAGCCACTCCAGCAAAAATCTTCTTGTATTTTCTACTCCCTGTGAAATACAGAAAATGATTAAAAAGAAAAGTAGCAAATACAATAGACCCATAGAGTATAGACCTCACACGCGAAGGGGTTTCATGCAAGTAAATCTTCTACCGAGCAAAATTTCCATACAATTAAGAATAACTAAGTAGCAACGTTAATAGCATATGATACCTTGGTATCCGAGCCCCAATGCTCCAAACCATAATTGGTATATCTTCTCAGAATATCCAATCTCTCGGTTGCCGATATATCCCAATGCCTGCAAAAACATTACCTATAGTTACGGTTTTCTCAAAATGTATCGCAAAAGTCACCAAAAGTTGGAAAATGTTAAAGATTTGAAACAAATTGAGGGCGATAGGTTAGTTGAAATTCTGCCTTAGCGCAGGTCCTCGAAGGAACGCAAAAATTACCTAGAGGATCGCAAACAGTCGCAAACAAAAAAGGCTTCTGTCTCTACTCTTTAGCTTGGCTTTCACCTATTTATGGGCATTGCTTGATAGCAAATAAATGCTACATAGAAGAAACATGTAGAAGTTTATTTGCCTGCAATCTCCTTCGAAAATATATTTATCAAAATGATGCCTTTTAGCGAAATAACCTTGGAAATCTAACAAAAGGAAAACGTTTAAACATTTTGTCCTACTGTAACCAACGAAATCCAAATCTTTTCCAATCATTTAAACTCTTAACAGTCAATTTGACTACTAAAGAACATAAACCTTTGTTCTTTTATTTCTGTGAATATCCACGGCTTTATCAGAGCTCCCCTGTCAAAGAAACAGTAAAACACATAAAGTATTTTTCATGATGATTAAAAGGGCAAAACTAAGTCCTGATTATCAAATAAAACAGGGCAAATGTGGCTCGTCAATTTCTGACAATTTCCTTACATGTGTTCAAAGCTGGTTTCGTACATCAACATTGGACTTCATTTGTAAGAGAGTATTGTATTCAGCGCACATTGACGACCATAGGCTATGCATAAATAATCGATTGATTTCAATGTAAATATCTATTTTGTAGCGTCATCAGTTTGCTAATCTAGCCTCCATTCCAAGGGGCTGGATTAACAAGCGGATGACGTCATTACCTGGCTATCATAATGCCGGCTACTCCTGTGTTCTCTCTACGCAGGTTTGCATCTTCAAATGAAAGAATGTCTCCGTTTCCTTGAAAACACGTGATTTTTTATGACAAGTGCATTGATATTCTACAGCTTGCACACATACTATGGCCATGTGCATATCAATAATCTCGATAGCTATTGGGCGAATTTCACGAATCGTTAGAAGCGAGGCTCTGATGGCCCTACATAACTCAACGTAGCCAATTGCATATCCACATTGTTTTTTTATTTTGAACGGGCAATTTTGGGAAAAGCTAATTTGTGAAGAGTATCATTTCACAGTTTAGGTTTCTTTTAACCGTTCTTTGAATAAACAAAACCAAGATAAACTATTTATACGTAAAAAACATCTGAACATCATCCCAAAATACTTTCAAGAGTCAGACTAAACTGTTTCTGATTAAAAAGAGACACTCCCCACGGCTAGATCTATTTGCAAAATAATGCAACCGATTCTACATGGCTTGTAATTGTTTCTTAGCAAAAAATGCTTCATCACGTTTTTTCTAAAAACATTAAAATTAGGGCAAAAGTTGCATTTTTCTCTGTTTTTCAAACGATACAAAAAAATTCATTCAATTTACCAATAAAAAGAAGCGACAAAACAAAGCTTTGTTAATAAATAAGAATAAGAAAAATTTCTGCATCGTCAAGAATAAATTGAATGAATTTACGCTTGGTGTTTTCATTGTATGTTGTTGGCTTCACATTGAGTAAAAACATTAAACTGGTTTAATAACTGATTTACACTCATTTTTAGCTGCAAATTAAAGGAAATGCAACGTATGTCTGTTACCGTAAAGAGGCATTGGCGAGGCAGCAGAAGCACATTCATTGATGTATTCCCAATCAGCAAGGCGTGTGTATCGCTGCTCTCGAGATCGTCCATGTAGCTGAAATCAATGAATCGTGCAAAACATCTAACAAGTTTCCTGGAACGCATTAGAACTTCTATCTTTTCGAGAACAGCCTTACTTCTTATAAAAACATCATTTTTCTGAGTAGGCCTACAATAAGGTAAGATATTTAAGCCTCCAACGATATTTGTTGCAAAGATTTAATCCTGGTATTAATCACAAGATGAATTGAAAATCCCACGACGATGAAAACATTCGTTCTAAAGACGAAATTTCGGACCAGGAATTGAAGGTAGTAATTTCAGAAGGATCTCAACACAAAGAAGATTCTTTGCACGCACTGATCGTAAAATAAAGAATATTTTCAAAGAAAGGTTAACAAGGATCCAACAAAAATTGCTTTTTAAATAAAAAAGCTCTAAAGAACAAATAATGTGCCAATCGATAATTTATGAGTAGATCTAAAATAGGAACGTACAGTGATAAGAGATGCTCCCCAGTCCCTTATTTTTGGGATAATTTCATGCGCAGTCCAATTTTTATCATAAATGCCGTTTCTCATCTTAACTGTTATCGGGACACTTGATACCTGAAAAGAAAAAGTTTAAAAGACACCTTATTTTCCTAATGGAACAGCAACAGAGATTCATTGGAATTAGCATTTATAGTAGGATTAATGCAACGATACATTTTAGACAGGGGTCTAAAAAAGAAAACAAGGAACACCTCTTGCTCGTCTGTGGCAGCAAGTGAATGGATTCTGGTAAAAATTGTTTATCTGAAATTAAAAATCACTGTTTCCAAGAGAAATTTCGCTATTTGCATTTTGAATGATTTAAATTTTGAGTTTTTTGATCGGATGTAATCAGAAATTAGAAAGAAAAGCCGCCATCGTCTATCCGCCGCCATCGTCTATCCGCCGCCATAGACGTCGTCGTCGTCACCAGATATTTTCAAGAGATATCTTTCGGCGAATTTTTTTTCACTCTTAGAGTTGATCTATCTATGAAGGCTCTTTTGATAATGCATTCTGAAACAGACGTGATTGTCAAAACATGCAGAGTTATTGTCGATAATTTGCAACATTCGGACCCGAAGGCCCTGATGGGCTGAACATAAAACTAAACTCCAAAAGAAAATCTTACCTAAAGAGACATCTTTTCTAAAGAGACTACAGTTAAACAAACATTAACGCGCATCACCTAACAACGGACAGATATTGGTGTCCCTCATGGTCAAAACGCTCTTCAAGGAACCCATATAGAACGGGCACCACTGTAGGGTCAGTTAAAGGTACAAGTTCTACCTCCCTCAGAAGAAAGGAGAAGTAAGGGGAGAAAACGTGATCATACTTGGAAAAATTTCAGAGATTTTTAAGAAATTTCAAGATTAGCAACATTCAAAATAAGGCCGGGTGGTAACGAAATGGCTGCAGATTTGTGAAGGTAAGAAGGGAAAATGATGTAGGAGGTAAAAAATAAACAACAAAAATTTGTTTCATGAAAAGAAATACCGTAAAACAAGCTGGGTGTGAGTGGCTATTGAATGTATATTTAGATAAGTGGGGCAATGCAATTATGTATCTGCAAAAGGTGAATCTGCAAAATCAACAAACAAGCTAGTCTCAATGCCAATACCTCAACCATTCCCTTGACAATGTTTTGGAACTTTTTTTGCCGGCCCATCAGTGCACAGCCACCACCCTGAAAAGGAACCAGAAGAGTGACTCAAAGGGTTGCCAATAGAATGGTTGCTTAGTACCATTAGTACTTAGGGTGGGTTAGAAGGGGTCGTGTAGCGTATTCTATCATGTTTGGAACTAGTTACTTTATTCTATTTCACGTTAGTTCCTCTTTTAGTGTAGATTCATTGCCACTTGTAAACCAGCTGAACGTGCCTCTGCCTTAAGGGTTTTCAAACTTTTATTAGGTATAATTTATTAGGTATTATTAGGCATTAAGAGGAATCTTTTCGGCGACATCGGGCAAAAAACCTGGAGCTGTGACTAAATTTGTTAATTTTTAGAACATAACATATGCAACTAGCCTTATATCTTGGTCGTAGCGTTAAACTCAAAAAATAAAATGGCGCTATGCAAAAAAAGCAAAATATACTTAAAAAAAGTGGAAATGGTCGAAGTTGTGTTAAAAAGAAAGGAAATTTAAGCAATTGATAAGGCGACCGAAGGATCAGGGTTGGATTGAATTTGTTCCCAAGTTTCCTGCAGAAGACACAGACGCTAGTAATTTAAAGAGAGTTTGCAGCTCAAAGACCATTTTACCTCTAAATAAACTATAAAATTTTGGATGCTTATAAGCACTGCAGAGCACTTTTCTGATTATCCGAGGACGGTGCCATTTTTGCCTGGGCATAAACAGAAACTAAAAACGTTATGACGGGCAAACACATGAAATCTGGATATTAAACTGAGAATGCAGCAAAAATTCAAATCTTCAATTTATTTGTGAAACACATGAAAAAACACGGAATGTTTAAGCAAGTTGAAACACTAGGGTAACAAATTTTAACGACTTTAGTCATGCAGCATGATGGTTAAAAAAAGAGTAGATAATACCGTCAATTTCAAAATGTGGCGACATTACTTTTTTGATTGGAGCCGGGGCTGTTAAAGAGCTTTTCATTCTTTATTGCACAAAGATTATTTCTGAAAAATGCTGTTCTTGGCAGATTCATGTTCAATTAAAATAATTTGTAAAAAAACTAAGTACCTTTTTAAAGACCAGGTCAATAGGACAGCCAATGTTGACATCGATGAAATCAACATCCATTTCGGAACTCAGCATTTCGGCACATCTAGTCATCGTGTCTGGAAATGACCCACAAAGCTGCAAGCAGACAAGAGCAACTGCGTTTGTTATGCTGTGAATCTAAGCTTATTCAAGCGTCTAGCTTTGTCATTACCTGTTTATTCTTCAGAAACTGAAAATTGGAAAGCGCTACTGCTTACCTGGACTCCAAAAAGATCTTCTGATTCGTGTCTTTTAATAAGAGCCCATTCGGACTGCTGACCCTGTAGGCGAAAAGGTACATATAATAAGAGAGAGACTTCTGTAGGGCTTGGGATTTGTTAATTTGGATTCACTCAATCCAACCCTTGGGCTATTCAATGACTTTACTTATTCAATGTCAAATCTATTGAAAACCAAATTTTTTCATGACAGAGAATGATGATAAATCATTTTATAAGATACGTTTGTTGACAAATTGTTTAATAATCGGACAAAAAGACACATCCATCACGATGATTGAAGATTTCCCATATTCATCACAACATACAATCATTGGACAAAGATTACATGCATACCTGCAGCAGGTTAATTGACATGGCCATTTCACTGCACGTAATGTCGGCTCCAAATTCTTTGCATACACGTCTGAATGGTAGATTCCCAACATGTATACAAAATAAAAATTATTGTTTACAATTTTGCTGCGGCCACAAGTGTTATTACCGCTGCTAAATGAGAGAGGAGGCTGCAGCACACAAATACGATGTCTTTGGTGTTTTGCCCTAGCAACGAAGCTATGCAAAATGCAGAAGTTAAAGCACCCATTTTGAAACATGATTTCTGTTTGCACAGACAAATGGATATTATTTAAACTCATTTTTAGAAAAAGAAAACAGCTTCATTTGAAAATCAATGACCAAATTTGTTCTATTTATGAAATGAAAGCAGCAATGAAAAATTGTTACATATTAAAAGGGACCATCTTGCATCAAAAAGCTCTGACATGTAACAAACTGTGCTAGGCAGCTGATTTAAAGGCAACTACCAATTAAAGTTTTTAGGCGGCATCGTCTTTGCATGGTTCATAATATCTTTTTGCCTTCCTTGCCTTCAGTGAATGAATTTATTGATGGCAACTGAAAGTATTTCCAGTTACATACAGCGGCCAAGTATTAAGCATGAAATATTATTAAGCAGAACTACTGCATTTTGTTAATGACAAGTGACACCTTAAATTTCTAATAGGGCTAGCGTAGGGTACTGCAACACCGCATCACTGGGGCCATACTTGGCCGCTGTTGAGTATAACAATGCGGAAACATATCAAACATTTGTGGCTACTTACATAAATACAAAGCAAAGGAAAATTGCTTAGAATTGTAGATTCTGAAGTCTGTGAAAAATTAATACTTACTGTCGTCAAGGGGGCTAAATACAGCTTGTTTGAGAAGTCTACCTAAAACGCAAAGAGCATAATTGTTAAAATTTCACTTTGTAATTATTTTTACAAGCTACCATGCATTATATAATTTCTCAAAAGCCACAAACGGGCACTTGCGAACAAAGGAAAGTTCCTATTTCCCTATGCTCTTTTGTCAGCTTAATTGCAAGTTTATCTTTCTAAGTCATTGTTTATATTTAGAAAATTATTTGTATCTTAATGCAAATTTTGTCAAGGCCCCTTTTCGGTTTTTAAGGGGATTTCATTGATAATAAAGTAAAATGAAATTACATTAATTGTAATAATTGTGAAAATAACTTATTCAAATGATCACAATTATTCAAAAGGTGTACGGTTGTCCGGAATGAACACAGTCCTTTCACCCCTTGTATCTTGCAGATTACAATATGCTTTCTAATAACAGTGGGAAGGGGAAGGCAGATGATATTAAAAAAATAATTAACTCACTTGCTTCCGTTCCCTAACATTTTGCTTGATTATATCTTCATTGGTACAGCAACCAAGCCTACCTTCGTCGGCATACGCCACCCTTTTATCGGTCTCTACTTTCGGATGGGTATCAACAGACAGGTTTCCAAGAAATGTGTCTGATTTTGGAAAATCATACTGTTTCTTTCTCAGTCTTATTTGTAAGTCTTTGGAACGCGCCATCCTAGCCTCTTCAGCCTTACTTTGACTCTTTTCATACTTTTCTTCGTCTACAATATTTTTAAAGTCGTCTGAAATGTGACACTTCGCAAAGCGACATTCTAGTCCAAACTTACATCTTCCATTTAATTGAAAATTCACACAACATTCACCAATATCATCTGGCTTCTTTCTTAAATATTCGTCCACATCATGGAGAAACTTACAATCTTTTTGATTAGCACAAGAATAGTTTCCTCTCGATAAACTTGGGCATAGTCTTTCATTAGGTGCTTGCTTTGGGACAGTTCTAGGTCTCTTCTTATTCTGACCCCTTTCTTTCTTCTTTCTTTTCTCCCTCTTTGGAGCAGACGATTCACTTTCGCCAACTGAATAATTTTGTTCTTCACTTGGAACTTCTACATTTTCTTCATAACTTCCTTTTTTGATAAATTCCGTTGAAATTTTTTCTGTTTTCGTCACGACAAACCTGCCAGTTAAATAAATAGAGATAATGTTAAAATTTTCCAATACATTGATATCTAGTGTGAACCCAGGGCCGCATTTCCCACTGGGCCTGGACCCGGGGGCCCACAAACGAACAGGAGAATTTTTCGGAAGTTTAATATGGTAACAAAGGGATTCTCTTGCAGGAGCTTCATATTAATGCGCAATTGCACAACCTTTATGTGTGCAATCTTTAAAAAAATTGATATAGATGATACCACCTTATACGAACATGGCACCCTTACTTCACGAAAGAAGAGAAGGATGCTCTTCACAACCTAATACCAGCAATGAAAAATTATCAAATGTTCATGCCAAAACTTTATACAATCTCCAACCTCTTACATTACATTACCCCTTATTTTAAGAATAGAATTGAAAAAGCAGAGGTTTTGCAATAAGGCCCTTCTGGAAGAAAAATGTAAACAAAATTTAGTTTATACAAGGCCTACTTCACAAATATTTGAGGTTATTTGAATTCCGACGTTATTTGAGGCCTACTTCACAAAGAAGAGAAGGATGCTCTTCACAACTTAATACCAGCAATGAAAAATTATCAAATTTTGCAGTTTCATCTAAAGACTTCATCTAAATTAATTGCAGTTTCATCGTCATTGCTGACAAAAAGGTCACAAAAACTTCTCTAGAATATTTCTCGGTATGCGCCATCTATTCTGGTGTGTTGTCTTTTACCAAACAAGTGACAGGCAACAATCAGTGATGCAATAACATTTTCTTGGAAATCAGCTGACACACCAAGCTTGATTATACCTTATTCGCACTGATGTGGCAGAGCCAGCTTAGTTAATTGCTGCATAATGATCTGGTTTGGTTTGGGCTGGTTTGGCTTGGCAGTGTGAATGGAGTATAAGCAAGCTGTATCGTAGATGTAGGCTAGTTTCCAGGGGCGGATCTAAAGAAAAATTTGACTGCCGCAAAAGGGTGTGGTCCAAAAGTAAATGGCAAAAAAGGGGCGTTGTCAAAACCCATTTGCGCATGCGCAATTTAAAGTGGTTAAATAGTGGCGTTGCTTGCATGTAAATATTTTATGTTATTCAAGGAAACTATAAAACAACATTCTCTTAAATAATTCTTCACTGCCAATTATGACTCTTCACTGCCTACTTCTTTTACAGTTACAAAGGTTAGTATGGTTAATAATAGGGTATGGTTAATAATAGGGTATGGTTTATATGAAATCTGCATTGATTCTATATCTTGCTACTGCACAGGAAACGTCTGTCAAAAAAATTCACCAGCTTGTCTCTGGATGAATTTACACCAACTCTTAGATAACAAATGTCCAAAGGCAGGCAAATTGCATAATATTAAGCTTTAGAATATTGAAACCATGGGTAACTTTTAAGCCAAGAGAATGAAAAACTTTCTTTTTTCCTAAATTTGGAAGGAACTCTAAAATTTGCATCTGGTTCCCAGGCAATATTAAAGAGGTCCTACTACTGAGCTGCTCCAACAAGTTCAACTTGTCCAAAAAGCCACTATCAGAATAATTTGAAACAGCAATTTCAATTCATTTTCTGTTTTGAGATTTTATGGTTCAGTTTATGAAAGGAAACAGAACTCTCTTTAGGAGTATGAAGTATGAAGGCAGGCCTGGCCGTTTGTATTTTTATAGGTGAGCTGTGAATCGCTCCCCTCATTTGCTGAGGCGAGCTAAATCAGTAACACATAGAATGTACTTCAAAGACAATCGACAGATGACTTAATAGGCCCCTTTAGTATCTGTCGGTTGCCTTAATGTAATAGCCTCAGTCAGGAGTGTGATGTTTTACTTCTTTCAATTTTTATTTGCTTTAACCGTGACTTAGGCACCCCCTTTACTTGAACATAGATAGAAAACTCTACGCTAAAATACCCAGTTTTGGATCGAAATAGGCCAATCAGAAAGCGCGCGCACATGACTGTTGAGGTTGTCCAATCAGTGCCGCTTTCGTATTGAAAATATTACCAACGGAGTCCTAAGGTGAAAACGAACTCACTTATGTCTACACAGAAGCGGTCGGTCATGTTTATATAGTAGATAGATTCACAAACTGCTAGATGGAACGATGATCAGGATTTGCCCTTAATGCCAAACATGTCGCCGTTATAGTTTTTCATCCAATCTGGGTTTTTCAGTAAATGCTGCTGGATAGTGGAATTCCATGTTTTGGTTGTCGTTTTTGATCTGCAAGACAGAGGACCTTGTTCTCTTTGAGGGACAGTTTTGTTTCTATTGCTGGAAGGGACCTGCTGTCTTATTATATCCCCAATCTACGATTCCTACCAATTTCTTCGACTTTCCTTCCAAAAATATTCCTGTTTTCTTAAGATTGAAAGGTTCTAATCGCTACAAACGTACCTTGCGCTTAACTATCCTTTTCCGAATAGATCGAAGTTTATGCCTATCATAACAAAAACCGCCCAACAAGCAAAGAGTTAATTGCCAAAAATGCAATGACGGGAGAAATCGCTGTTACAAAAATAAACCAATTAACCCTTGTGCGTTTTCATAATTCTCTGAATAGGAAATTTTAGGGGAGCGATTCTCCCTTCATGTTCTGTTCAGGAGAGCAATTCATAGCTCGCCTCAGGTTGCGAGGAGAGCATGGAGGCGAGCGCGAGCTATGGCTCGCCTCAAACAGCCAGGCCTGATGAAGGTCTAAGTGAATAGGCTTGAATTTGGCTTCTTCTCATCCTAAAGCTACAACAGTTATACTTTGCATTTGCACTTGAATCTTAAAAACTAGTATTTGCACTACTGGAACTTATAAAACATTGTTACCATCAAAAACTGAACAAAGATGTCAGAAGTCTATATAAAATTCTATCAAAATAGAATTTTATATAGACTTCTGATATCTTTTTTCAGTCATGCCAATAACCTCTAGATACATGGTGTTTTGATCAAGCTTTGCAGACAGGGTGTAAGTTATTTGATGTTGCTATGTTAAGCACCTCAAATGTTTGACAGTTTAAAAGCATACCAATAAGCCTATGGGTCTGGTCTGTTGCCAGCAAAGAAACAAAATTGTGAAAGAATGCACTGAAGGTTGCATACAGATAAAGCTCTGCTATAAAATGCCCTAAGTAATTGATATTTGTTCGTGCCCAATTACTTCCATTGATAAAGATTATACAGACAGTTAACATTACAGATTATACCAACAGATGACATTGCAGATTGACAAATAATAGATACAGACATCAAAGGATAAACTATTTTTCGAATATTTATTTGGGATACACAAATACACAAATTCTATTTCCCTTAAGTTTACTTGTCTTTTTAAAGGCATTTTCTCCAAAATATCTCAAAAAGCAACCAAGGGCATCCAGAGAGGACAAGATAAGCTAATTTCATAACCATAAATAGCAATTCAATAATCCTTACTAAAATAACACATATTTGCCAATCCGGTGATAGCTATGTCAAGTTATCAGAAATAAAAGCACTGGTTAAAATTTATTTCTGAACACATAAACATTCATCAGACTGTAATGTTATGTTTTTAGTTTTTAAGTCTAATAGCAACAGCTTTCCCAAATTGAAAGATCTCTGATACATTTGTGTCTGATGTGTCATAACATAACATAACATAACATAACATAACGCAACATAACATAACATAACATACATAACATAACATAACATAATTTGAAATATAGCACACAAAATTAGAAAAAGAAACCCAGCATGCTCTGATGCGATGTTTGAAACAAATCGAAATGAAGTTAAAAAAATTTATAGAGAAAGTGAGGCTAGCTATTTTCCCTGGAACCTCCACAGAATTTTTGAAACCAGATTTTCTATGTGTATTAAATTCTTGTGTCTGTAAACTTATAAAATACTTATTAAATACTCTGTTTATTATTTTTAAATTTACATCGTCATGATTCGAGTCAATTTGATCAAACAAATAATATTTGTTCTATACTTTATGTTGTATTGGGAAAGAATTGACAATGCTAACTGACTCTGATAATATACACATTTTATGCGATAAAAAACAAAGTTTTTTGGCAATCATATTGTTATCAAATAACAAAGAACATTATTCAAATACGTCTAAATTAAAAGAAACCGAACGTTAACAAGAATGAAGCATAAATAACAATGTTTCAAAAACGTTTGCTTCAATAATAATTCACCTCCAAAGAAAAAAGTTTGTTCTCAGCTCAACATAGAACTTCTAACCAAGTAGGCCTAGCTCCGATACTTTAGCTGCAGAGATAGAAGCAGAATTTCCAAGTCTTTTAAGCTTAATATTGCTAAGGTCATGCATGAAGCTTCCAATATTCACGTCTCTGACAGAACTTAACCTTTTTCAGGATATCCTTTCCCCTTCTCAGCTTTATTTTCCTGTCTTTCAAAATCACGGTACAGGAGTGAAATGAGGCTGCTAATCGTCTTCATGATCACCGCACCGATCTAATGGATCACTGTCGAATAAAAAGTATCACCCTGATACCAAATGCCGCATTTTGCGGCACCTCAAGATTCCAAATAACCATACACTGAACCCACTCCACATATTTTGCATATACAAAAATTTCTCATACATCTCATCGATGCCGCAAGGAGAACAATAAAAATGACGTAGGGTCTCAAAAACGATCGTTTAAAACTGTGCTGGCATCTAAAATTAATATGCGAAATGCCGCAAAATATAATTTATGTCAAATCATCTGAGGCAGGGAAGAGGATCACATAATCGCAGGGAAAGAATCACTTATTCGCTCAATATGAGGCGAAGCAAAGATGCAAAGTAGGTTCTCACAACGACTGCATGCAATCAATTAATGGAGATACTTGGGGGAGAAGAAGGGGGGGGGGAGGTGGGAGGGCATGAGTCATTAACAAAAAATCAAAGGATGTATGTAGTGGAATTTCAAAAAAAGAAACTGAAACTGAAGATGTGTTTGGCGAAATTTAAATGTTTCAGTCTTGCGTAAAGCAGTTGCGACAGCCTAGATCCGCCCCTGGTTTCATGTCTTTATGTTATGACTGTGGTGTAGTCATTTATTTTTGCTCCCATGGCATCATCCTGTAGTACTGCATAGTTATTTAAAGTATAGTAGAATGTAGCCTATGTTTGTAATATTTCATATGGATAAAAAAAGCTCTGCAAATGTAGACAAGAACACTTGTGTACTTTTCGCTAGTTCCATAATCATTTCTACTGTAAGAATGCAAGCCTAGGAAAGTTGCTTTTTCTAGCAAAGAAAGATCAAGACCTTTGGATTCTTACCACTGCAACTGTCTATGTAGACTGCAAGGCTTAGAACTTCATTGGGGACAAGAAATTGGGATATTTATCTTCCAAGATCTTGATAGAAGAACATATTTAGTAATGCCTGTGTTATTTCTTGTCAATGCTTGGTGTAGCAGAAAGCATTTCCTTTTGTCTGCTGCCTCATGGTTGGCTTGAAGAGCTTCAATTGGTAACATTCCTCTTCTACGAAATCTGGTGCAGCAGATTTGGAGGGGGTATTCACATTCGGCAACAATCAAGAGCTATATAAATTTTTTGCCGTCCAAACCTCCTCAATTACTTCAGAGAGTCGCTTTTTTTCTTTCCATTGCAGAGGAACCAGAAGCAGTTTGTGGGATGCACTTGCTTAAGTGTTTCACAAGCAGAGAATGTCTACACTACACAGATTGGCTGCTTCTTCCCTCGATTGCTTTTGCAGACAGGCACTTCATGGAAAGTTTCGGGAAGAGGCTTCCAGTACACATAGCCTTCTTTCTTTTTTCAAAGGGGGAATGCCTTTTTGCAATATTTTTGGCATTTTCATTTTTATTTTCTGTCACTAAAAGGGATTTAGTAAAGTCGTGGTAGCAAGATCTATGAACAGAATGCTCTCCTAGAGAACTGTTCAGGCATTCCTCTAATCTGCTTTTCATGATTATGGGGTCCTCAGAGTTTGATTCTGCTTTTCATGATTATGGGGTCCTAAGGGTTTGATTCTTGATTCTTTTCAAAAGCCTATCATAGGTTTCTGATGTCAGGAGAGTTAAGTTCTTATTTACAAATTCCAAATGCCCTAGTGAATGACAAACATTTCACACTTCTTTCTGCAATATTTTACATGATTCTTTCACATCCAGAGAACGGTATGAAAGGGAAACGCTGTGTATGGTTTGTAATTAGCATCAACTAAGATATTTTATGGTCTTAAAATTATATTTTTGAATTAAAAACATTGATGAAAGTCTACTGAGAAGAATAGGTTCTGAAGAACAGAACCTTACTTTAAGGGCTCCACTATCAAATCTTCCGATCAATGTCAATCAATGTGAAATATAAACAGAACTGTAAGAAAGAGCTAGCAATAAGTAGGTCAATATTTCACGTGGCAGCACAGATAAGTAGGTCAACGTGCTACTCTTTCCTGTGAAACAGAATATTATTCTGTCTGGATATTGCATATCATCAGGACCTTTAAAAATATGTTGAGTACTACAAGAAACAACTACAGCACTAAAGATTTTGCATAATTTATGCACATAATAACTGATTCAATAACAGCATACTAAACTATAGGTTTTTGCGTAAGCTCTCCCCCAGTAATTGGAATTGGCCCAAATGATAAAACACCATTATATTCTTGTAGGTTTCATTAATATATGCTTGTTTTAGCACTGTTTGTGCTCTAAAAAATATATCATTATCTACAGACACCACCCTAAACAAATATAAACCCCCTATATCTTGGAAAAGACACCCAAACGGCCTGATCAACACTCAGATTTGAAATCTACACCAAAAACTACCATAGAAAAATGGATCCCGTAAGTCTCCTTCTAGGTGGTAATGCTCCCCCTCCAGCCAATGGACTATAATTGAATGATATTATTCCTTTAAAGCTCTCAAGATCTTTGTCATACAATGTAGCCAAATATGGAACTCAGTTTCAAATCTAAGGTGGAATCCTTTTGAAACTAACATCGGACATACGCCAATAAACAATAGAAAGACAATGGGAAATTGTTAGTCTATGTCGGCTACCTCTGGCATAAGCTGAATGGATTCCATACTGGTTCCCAGGGGCGGCTTACAGCATTATTAGTGTTATTAGTCTAATAACAGTTTTTTCCCTAGCTATAGGCTTGTAGTTGCAGGCATTGTTTATTTTCATAGACAATGATTTGTGCTCAAGGCTCCACATGTCAATAGACTTTTATTGAAATTCTTTTGCCTTCAATCTCCCTTTGAAAATGTCAACAATAGCCCTTGCTAACATCTCCGTTATTAGGATTGCGTGCCTAATAACGCGAATCGCCATTTCCTTTGTTTTTACTCTGTGAATGTGACGTATTGTCATAGAAAACAGGGCATAAAGCCATTGTATTTTACTCACACGTTATTAGCCTCCTCATTCTAATAACGCATTCCGGGATATCGGCTGCTTACTTCATGAAACAAAATCACAAACAAAATAACTACCATAATTCAAACGGGCTCTGTACACTGGGTTGTTTCTAAGTTTTTTCTGCATTTTCAACTGGTAAAAATTTAATGCATGAACAACTCTTTCGCCTATAGCGATGGCCTACCCAAAGACTTCTCTTTTCTAATAAAGATATTAACGAGGCATCCCATGGATTTGCTGTTAAGAAATAAAAAAAATACTTATTTTCGTTGCCCGGGTCTTGTGCTGGGAGATTTCCAGAAGGAAATATCATCAAGTCTTTTTAAAAGTATTGTTTAGGGCTCTACTATATCCAGGATGGTCTGTTATTTCCATAGTTTACATGTCTTTGATGGCCCCGTTATTAGAAAGCCATTTCTAATAACGCAGTAGCCGAAATGTTGCTGGGGCCGCATTGATAAAACCCATGAGGCATCGAAAGTCAGCCGTGCCCTTAGATCGCATTGCTGTAGCAGCCCATTCCCGTGTAATCGAGACGCTGTTTTTGAGGTCGGCTTCAAATAAATTGGGGATTGGAGTTTTGAATTAAATTTTGCATGGCTATCAAAACCACAGCCATACCCATGCCACAATTCTACATTATTTTCCTTTTTCGACAAGAAAACAGACTCAACATATAAGGGGTTTAAAAGCCCAAATTCCCAAACAAAAACGCAAATGGGGGGGGGGGGAGCCCTCTATGCCCCCTGTAATTTATGCCATTGCTTGGCTGACTAATAACAGTTTATTTTTGGTGCCAGCCGCCCCTGCTGGTTCCAAATGGAATAAGTACTCCCCAACTTTACAAATGTTCAAGGAAAAATCTCAGAATTTTCATTGTTCAATTGTACTAGTGATTTTTGCAAGGAATATGTTTATGTATGCAACATCAGTTATATTTGATCTAAATCATATTTAGCGTTGGTAACTAAAATAATGGCTTTATTTAGCTTTTGTACCAACTTTAAACAAAGAAAGAAAAACAGTTTGTTCAGAGGAGTTATATCCAAAAGTTTTATCAAGCCATGTAGATGGCCATCAGAACAAATTTTTGTTTTTATATAAGGTAGGATTGGTTCAAGCCCCCCTTGAGGTTGATTTATGTAACAACGTAAAATTTCCATTGGAGCTGCGCCCCCAGCCAGACCACCGACCCTCTTTCCCTTGACAGGGCCTTCACATACAACCAGGCTTTGTCGCTGGCTAAAAGACGATTCCCTTTTTGTTTTGGTAGGGAACTTTGACATCCGAAGGGGTCCTTTCCCAGTTCCTGCCCCGCCGCATCATGAAGCTTCCTCTGGGTGAATATGAACATTTTAAAGTGCCTTTTCGCGAATATTTGGCCCTAATATTAAATTAAAGCAAAATTATTAAAAAAATAACCACTTACTGTTCCTTTACTCGGGCAATCCCAGCCATAGCTTCATAGACTTCTGAGGCATTTATAATGGCGGCAAGCGATCGACTTGGTGTGCTTCGGTGCTTCATGTAAAATGACTTCAAATTTCAATGCAACTCAATTATGAAGATTATCCGACAAATGAACTCCTCCTATAAGCGTAGTCGTAAAATTTTATCAAGGGGCGCTCTGCAAAAGAGAAAATTATGCGGTTGTTGGAAAGCAAAGTTTTTATTTCCAACTTGCACTATTATAGTTGCAATTTAGGTGGTTCCGATTGGGCAACCAGGTACACGGTATTTTATAAGAACAATATCTATACTGTGCGAAACATCATGCCGAGATTTGCCCAAAAATAAGAACGACATAAGAAAAATGGTAGGGTGAGATTCAATAAAACTCTAGATATAAATTACTGGCAAAAATTGAAATTTGAATGGATAACCAAGATTGTTTAGGAAAAGGGAAAGAGAGCAGACGCTCCAAACTAATAATATTGAAAATCGGAAGATTTTTATAATTTTCTGTGATACATATGATATTGCAGTAATATAAAAATCTCGATTGCATGTTTGCGTGTCTCGATTCAAGCCAGCACATGCGCTTACTTGAGTGAACACAAGCATTCGTATTGAGTAAGGAAGAAGACATTAATACGTTTTCTTTTTTATGGATTTCTGCCAGTAACTGGCTTCAATTTTGCATTAAGTGGGTAAGATTACTCTTGCGAAAATTCAGCTGAACTAACGTTTAAAATATTTGACTTTCTTTGATTGAACACAGCTGCAATAGACGGTTCTTCGACATGTCAGAGACAGAAGAAGGGCAATCATTAGACGATTTTTTTGCAAAGAAGTCCAAAAGTAAGAAGTCTAAGAACAAGAGTAAAGCATTTACTACCTCAAAAGATATTGCTGATAAAAAGCAAAAGAAAAAAGACAAAACTGAAGAAGCAACAGAGACTGCGCCCAAGGAAGTCTCCGAGGTGGGTATGGATGGTGTTTACTTTAAACCAGCCTTGCTAAACTCTAGTTACCAAAAAGTAAATCACTCTTGCATGTATACTGTAGATTCTCAATCCCAAGTGCTCCTTAATTATTTTAGTTGCTGGTGGTGTGATGCCCATATGATTAAATTTTAGTGTAATAGGGCCTAATCCTGTAGCGTGTGGTTGAAATTAAAGTCAGTTTCACCGAGTTTGCTTTCCACTGCATTTAGTTCTAACAGTTTTGTACGCTTATTATTATTATTAGTATTAGTATTATTATTATTATTATTATTATCTGTTTATTTAAAGGAGGCATTTAAAAATAGCTACAAAATAAAAGCAAATACTAGCCTACTACAAAGAAAAATTGTTTAAAAAAACATACATATATATCTAACATGAAAAATAATTAAGTATAAATACATATTACAATGTTTTTTCAGCATTTTTGGCATTTAAAATACAGTACATTTATCCTTTATATATAGTTTCACATGACTCACAATTCCTTTATATATATATAGTTTACTTCATGTGTGTTTTTCTAATATATATGCAAATACAAAACTCTTTAGAAACTTTTACTAATAAAATGTGGCCAAAAATGTTCCAAAATAAAGAGACTTGTGAGGTTTTAGCTACTGCAGTTTTCTTAAAAAATAAAAAACATGTAATTAACAATTTAATTCTAGTCAATAGATCACTTGTCAATAGATTAGTTTTCTTTATGGTGTAAAAACACAGTCCAAAATCTGAAATCTTGAGAACGAGATTTTCAAGAGAAGCAGGCGAGAAGGGTTTATAAACTGCAGGATTACATTTTAGTTAACCTAACTTATTTTTAATGTTGTTCTCTTGAATATGTTGGATTTGACGTTAGTAAAGCTTGTTTACTAAAAATGTAATGATTAGGCTAGCCTTGTCTAATGTTTTCTTATGATAAAGTTATGTAGTCTAGTCTATGTACAGCTGACTGTACTATTAAGTACTATGGTGCAATAGCACACCATTGCATGCCTTGGCACCACAAGGAGTGCAATTCATTGCACCCCTGCCATTTTATTCTCAGCATGCCCTGGAATTTGTTATGCTATCTGACATTTTCTGCATTGAAATTCATTTTTATCATCATTTTTATTGGAAGTATGATATCTTTCCAAATTGTTCTCAAAACATCTTCATCTTCCAGAAGAGAGAAGTGCAGTATTGCACCAAGATTATATTCTCAAACTTTCCAGCATTATCTTACAAAGTCTCAACAAGACTTGTTAATGAATCAAAGAGGAACAAAAATACCTATTTAATGCTCCATTACAGCATTTAATGCTTCTTTACAGCAATTGACAGACAGCATTCAATGGTAACATAAACAGAGCATGGGCAAAACATACTTTGAATGTTTGTATAATTATAGACAGCCTTATCTCGTATTAAAGCACAAGCAGAATCTAACAAAAGTATTTCCTTAGCTTTTACCTAAAATGTTCAAGTGAAAGAACTTTATATGGAGCAGTTTAATGCAGCCAAACGTTAGCCAGCATATATTCAACCTGTGATGTTCATTCGAATTTCAATTTTTTTTCTTTATCCTATCACTTTGTTGTAGTCCCAATCAACAACAAAGTTTCTAATCAGAAGCAAGTAACAATATATTTCTTAGAATTAGGACAAATCTAAATATTTAAAAAATATAACAAAATATCATAACAAAAATGTTGAGTGCTTTATAATAATGCCGCCTCTGATGGCCAAGATTTCAACAGTTGGAGGCCAAAAGGTATGAATGGTAATTGTGATACAACTTTACCTATTGACTACAAAAACCAGAGTCTCAACAAAAGGAAGTGGTACACAAAGCCAGGGTATGGTGCCAAAGTTTCCCAAATTGTTGGAAAAATACTACATTCTATGGCAAAACTTGATTTGTTTTGAAAAATACTTCAGAACAAAGCAACAAACACCGTGGTGTTCATTTAAAATGGTTAAGATGGGACAAGTAACCTTAAAGACTATTATTTAAGGGGCTGCTACAAAATGCAGTCTTAGGGTGTGGCTTTATCAATGTGGTCCTAGCCTAGCACCATTTGTATCTAGTGCGCTATTAGGAAAGGCTTTCTAATAACAAAGCCATAGAAGAACCATAAAAAGAACAGACCATCCTGGAGTAAAGTTATAATACTGCTCTAAGCAGTACTGAAAATCTCCCATCACAAGACACGACCAAGAGAAATAGTATTTTTCATTTCTTCCCCACAAATCCATGGTGAATGTCTCATAAACACTGTAACAATCTATAAATGAACTCTTTGGGTACAGCCTTACATCATTTTCAAGTGTAAAAGTTGTTCATTTGTTAGGCTTTTACAAGTTGAAAATACCGAAAAAACATGAGAAACAACCCAGTGCACAGTACCAATTTGATTCATGGTTGTTATTTTGTTTGTGGTTTTGTTTCACAGAGTCAGCAGTTTATATCCTGGAAAGGGATATCATTATCAGCAATCATCAGCAATCATCAGCAAAACTCTGTTCTTTTTTTCAAAATCATGGTTCATAATCTTATTCCAACACTTTGATTATTTAAGGTGATTCTATTGAACAAATAAATTCAACAATCATTGACGAAACTCGTCAGCAATCATTCCATTATTGCTGCAAACAGTCATGCTGATATAACCTGGAAAGATGCTTGAAGGATCTAGTCCATCTTTAAGAATCTGGATTACTTCCTGAAGGCTCTTTCAATATGTTTCTAAAGAGAAAGATGTCCAATTGTAAAATATCAACCACATCCTTTGCTTGCAACTTTTAGTCATTGCCTTCATCTAATAAGGGTTTATTAACAATTTCAGCATTGAAGACAACACCATGAGAGCATTACATGAATGGGTAGCCTAAAATTAGTCATAGGTACTATTTCAATTGAAGGAGGTTGGAATGTGTACCATCAAATGTGTAAAGTGGCTGTTTCAGGGAAAGGGGGTAGAACATCACATTACTGAATGGTTTATTGTACACTTCTGGAACAGTATTTGGTTTTTGTAGTCAGTAGGTTGAGTTTTATCAAAATTTCCATTCAGAAATTTTGATCTCTGACTGTTGAAATCAAGAGACGGCACTTCAACATTGTCTGTTTGTAATGATATTTTAACATCATGCAGTTGACCACCTTTAATAGTTTACCATGACACAGTGTCCTGTGGTACCTCCAATTATATAGCCCGGTGTTCATTTATCATGGACTAAAATCTACTGTTGTAAGTATTGGGTGCATCATTGTTTTATGCTTATTTTTGTAATGTGAAACAATCAATATATGTCCCAGTATTTAATAATGAAAGGCTTCAAAAGAAAAGTAATTTTCTTTGGAGAATGAATTCAAATGGAAAAGACTGTACTAAGATAGACAAAAACCAAAAAGTTTGCCATAATGTGGCAAGCCTTGTGTTAAAGGTGCAGCAAATGTTCAGAAGCAGCTGATATACAGTTTTTTTACAATGATTGCCATGTATTTATTTTCTAAAGACTTTGCTTTTGTAGCATACAACTATGACAATAAAAACATATTTATGCATGAATCTGTTGAAAACTGTATTTTTTTCCTGCTAGGCTGAAGAGCAATGGAAAGATTTTGACGCCCCTCAGGAAACTGATTACTCTGGGTTAAGAGTTCAGGCCCTCCAAATTAAGTAAGTCAACTTTACTGTCATATTATTAATGATTATCACCTTACATTATCTTATAAAAGGCAAGTTTTAGTTATAATTATTTACTGTACTAAGTGTAAATGTAGCCTGAAAATGTATGTTTTACATCAAGTTGTTTATTGGACCTATTTTCTTTAATATCTAACTTTATAGGTGACACTAGTTAACATCTGCTCCTTTCTTTTCTAAATTTCAAAGCCACTTTAGTGTGTAGAGCAAGGCAGATCTAATTGTAACTCAAAGTTTCATGCTATTTTAGACTGCTGCTCCTTTCCAGAACAGTTGATTGGTGATTGACTGTCTTAAGACCATCTTGTTTTATACACCAAAGTTTGCACGGCCCCTTTCTTGCAGCATCTAGCACTTTATAGTAGAAAAGTAATATCCATTAAATATCTTATTCATTGTGTTGCGCTTTTTTGTAAGCAGGGTATGTTTTGTTATTCAAAACACTAGTTTGCAAATTGTGTGGAAATCTCATTTGGAAGTAATTCATGTTTAACAATTGTTATAATCTGTATAACAAATACAATGTTTACTACAAGCGGATGGTTGACTTTGGTTTGGTTTGGCACCTGGAGACTTTTGCTGTAATATTAAATTGCTAGTACAATGTGAACCGTCAGCAACAATTTTACAAAAGTGCAAACATAGTGGTATTATTAGATGCTGATAGCCCCTACTCTTTAGGTTTATTAGATGCTGAACTGATTCCTATTTTACTAAAAATGATTATTTTTTACCATGTATTGTTTTGCTAATCCGCAAATATTTTGAATCCAAGTGATGAGAATGAAAAAGAAGAAGAAGGAACTTCTTATGAGAACTTTAGCGATGGTAAGATTGATTGAAAATTGATAGAAATTATTGTTTAAGCTCTGGGGTTCATAACTATGATAAAAAGCTCAACCAATCTGTATTTCAGAATGGTAAAGTATCGAGAGAATCGCTTGTCGTTTGATGTCTTCATCCATTGTAGTTTCTGAAATTGCAAGTTCTAATGCTACCTGATTGCAATCAATATACAGCAGTAAGCTCTGCAGCTTTCACGTTATGATGTACTTTGGGACCCCTCTTATCTAAAAAATATTGTGTTTTATTTATTTACGTCCTATGTTTGCAAGTAGTTGTTGCTTTATCCAAACAGTAAAGTTAGTGCTGATTTTAAAGCAGTCATAAAGAAACGTCTAACTAACGCCAGAACGAGATTTATATCTTTATTAGTTCGCTAAAAGTTGGTATTTGGTAGATGCAACTTGATTGGCAGATCTTCGCCAGTATCTGTTTTATACGATGCACCAAAAAGGTTTTGATTCATGTAAAAGTTTGGAAACTGGGGTATATTCTGACAAGCTAATTTAAGTGTTTGGGGTATATTCTGACAAGGTATGACAAGGTGAAAAATTTATTCTAAGTAAGCCACCATGCTATTTCCTTTTTTTCAATGTTATGCCAACCTTTGTAGGTGAAAGTGAAAGCAAAAAGGAGCAGTCGTCAGGACCCTGGGCAAAGTCATCTCAAACACAAGGCTCAACACAAAGTAGGCAGTCGTAACAAATTAGCTTTTTTCATGAAGTTTGTAAGGTAATCGGTGAATAAAAATGTGATAACATTCAGAAGCTTTCAAGAAAGCTGTTTTCGAGAAAACAGACTTTTGAAGATGTTTAGGAATAAAAATCCAAAAAGTTTCGAATAATTTTTTTGTTCATTTGACTAGTGATTAGTCGCCAGTAAATGCTGTATCTATACGACATAGGCCCGTGGCAAATTTTTCACCAAATTTCTCTTCCCAGTCTCTTTATGCAAATTAAGCCCCCAGATATCAAAAGGGTGTATAAAAAAGCTTTGGTCTGGAAGCCTATTGCTCTGTTCTTTTGTTCTCAACGCAAACTTTAAAGCGCGTCTATTCTCATTACGTGACATAAGTAAAGGCCGGTTTCCACTTAAACGAAAGCGGTTTGAATTGACCGCCCTCGATCGACATTGTTCGAAAGAAAATTAGGCCAATAGATAATTTTCAGAATGGGTTTGACAAGAAGGCAAATTATAATTCTGCTATTGATAAGAAGACTGCAAAGACGACGAAGTGGAGAGAAGGAAAATAAGAGGATTTGGGTTAGAGAGTTATACGCAGAGCGAATTCACGGGGTGAATATCATTTGTTGAACAGAGAAATAAAATTGTATGATCATATGCTTTATGGTATGGTTTAAACTCCCTATCATTTAGAGGGAGTTTAATGTGGAATAATTTAGACAAAACCTCTCTGAATATCTTCAGAACTGAAATACGCTGTTGGGATGGAAATAGATGTACATGTCACTTATGCACTTAGTTTTTAAATGTAATTTCGTAAATAGTTGGTCTAAATTTGTTCCTTAACTATGAATAAACCAACTGTAAAATTATTATAATTATGATTACCCGTACGGTTTTGTTAAGCAAAGCGCACACGGGTGACTTCTGTGTCTAAAACGCACGGATTTTGGGGTTTGTGACAAATCATTTGTGCGGGTCAGCTACAAAGATTATTATGATTTAAAGTTTGTCTTCGCGAATAAAACTGCTTGCTTTAAAATACCATTTCTCAAACCCAAAAAAAGATGATGACCCATTAGATGTGGATGCAAAATATAGTAGGAACGGGTTAATCTATTGCTTTTTCATCTGTCAAGTTTTTTAACTGATAACTGATGTTTTTGTTCTGTTGAAAATGGTGATGGTTAGGGCCCCCATCAATAACGGGAGAGATCGTTTACATTTGCTCATTTATTAATGGTTCTCGATTGAGCATACATCTACGAACCTTTAAAATACAACAAAGGGTCATCATTCCCTGCCAATCGCCTTCCAGAGTTCCAAAACCATTATTAGGTCTAGACAGGATTGCAATACTTAATGGCCTCCACTTTGCTTGAACGTACTATGAAATGTGACCTTTCTAGAAATATATTATGTAGGCTCAGTATGTTATTCCTGGTGATGGGTCTTTCACAGTGGCCTAACTTTTTCTGCTTACGGGTGCTGGAACCGCCCCAGCCCCTCTGTTCCCCACGTCTATGTCCTCGCATTTAAAAACATTTCCAGATTCGTTTTGATGATTAAATCTGTCTACGGTCGCGAAATTCTAAAAATTCTAACTCCCGATTAAGAACCACGAAAATTTCCACAGCCAGGACTGCGCAATATGACTCGAAGATAGGTCTCGAATAGAGTGTAATATCACCAACATTTTCGAAAAACACTCGAGACTTTTCGAGTTTTTTCTATTGACATTGATTTTTGCAACCATTCATGCTTTTTGCAACAATCTTAGCTTTCGTCTTTGTGCGTTTTTGTGCGACTCAATTTGAACCCTTTCACAAAACAGATATTTTTCTCCTGGTGTTTGTTCCAAATGGGAGCAGTGTGAACCGGTTCTTAAAAGCGTAAAAAATAAAATTGGTATCTATTAATAAACTTCCAATATTTCAACTTCACTGAATTGCTGTTTCTTTTTTAGCATCATCTTCTGAACCAGAAAATGTCCCGAAATCTGCACAAAAGTACTTTCCTGGTGCATATAAAGAGCGAGTGAAAAAGGAGAGGTTTGGAGTGCCGCCTGATATATCCAGCCAAGCAGCTTTTCCAAGTTTAAGCACTTCAGCAACAGAGTAGGTTTTTAAAAAACAATGCGATGTGTTGATATCAGTCATTTATTATCGTGTAGCGTCTATTTGAACAAGTAGTAACCGTTTTCGCGATATTAAAAAAGCATGATATTGCAACATAATGTTGCGTACCATTTTGTCATAGTCCAATTTGTTCTAACCTTTTATCGTGATATCGTGCTACCGTGCTATATTGCTTTCTTGCTATCATGCTATGGAAATGCTCAACCTGGCAACGTGCAGTGGCGTAACGGAGGGATCTGGAGCCCTTAGGAAAAACTAAGACGGGTCCCCTATTCATGGACTATTATGTTATCTATTTGTATTTCCTTTTTAGGCCCTCGTCAAGCCGTAGTGATTTTGAAGTGGTCAAACGCGGAATGAAGTCATCAGGAACGTGCCAGGAAAGCAAACCCATGTTAAGTACTGAAAACAGATATGATAGTTTAAAGAGCTAACTAAATTCATTCAGTATGCAAAATTATTTCTGCCATTAGTTTTAGAAAATTGTTTGTTTTTCTGTTCATGCAGCTTAGATGCTAGACCTTGAAATATAACTAACAACTCACTATTTTTTCCCTAAGTATCGCATGGATTATTCTCTGCTGCGAAGATTTCTAAATATTTAAAATTTCTTTTAATGCACTCAGCTGTATTTTTATGGCTTTTTACGGCTCAAAAAGTTGTTCTTTCAAATTAAGGATTGTCAAGCTTCTCTCCTAAACCGCTGTACTTTGGCTAGAATAGTCAAACGGTATTTAGAAAGACACCAGTTTAGGTATAAAACGCGTGGTTTTTTAAATTAGCCAGTCAATTGAAATATATCTTCCAATCATTGCAAAGCTCAAATGTAGCACATTTCTTGCTGACGCAAAAAGGCTGTACTTTCAAAAGAATGATTAAAACCCTTCTCACGGTAGTTTTCCCGACCATGGGCAAACCGTATCAGGGTTAGGATAAGTTGGACGAAAGTTCACATCAAATCAGAAGCTCTTATCAATACTGGCCTAAACATAACGGCAGAACCGTTTCAAGAAGTTTTTATATCAATTATAAGTGTACATGGTTAAAGGTCACAGACTTATGGACTATGGTAATGCACTATGGCTAACCCCTGACATTGTGAAAAGAGGCAGTTTAAAGAAGCGAGTGTGTAAAAACAATGACATATGCCCTTAATGCAATATAATGGGAAATAATACCAAGTTAAAAGATTTTGACCCCGTTCACACGGGATCGATCCAGGCTGGGATCGATCCCAAACTGGCAAGGTTCGGCCTTCCGTTTACACGGGAACGCTCGGGATCGATCCGCTATCCGTGCTAATTTGGGCTCGCTTTGGAAAGCGTTCCAGTTTGGGATCGATCCACGGTCCAATCCACGGTGTATTGATCTAATGCCCAAGGTGCAATGACAATCCACGGTGAATTGACCTAATCTTAACCAACAGATATAGGAGCTTCAAACATACCACCACTACCGCAATTTGTGTGTCAAATTATTTTGAACGGAAAAAAGAAATTTCTATAAAAATTCGAATACTTCTGATATTACAGACAACAAGAAATTTTGGAAAACTGTAAAACCTGTCCTTTCCGATAAAAGTCGATCGAACTCAAATATTACCCTTATCGATAATAATAGGATGATTTCCAATGATAAGGAAGTTGCAGAAACCTATTAAAACTAGCAGATGTCACTTCCCTCCACAAATCGGAGGAGAAAACCAGTAAGAAAAATCAACTTTATTGACAAATTTAGCGAACAGGCTTCAACCTATGGGAATGATTTATTCTCGACATAGATTGAGGCAGCGTCGCCTGTTGGAAAGGTTTCACCCTCTTCTTCCTCATTTGGGTAGGCCGCTATAAAGTTTTTATAGATGTCCTCATACTTAGAACGAATAGTCTCCCAGTCCTGGCCAAAGGCTAACTTCGAAGTTTTGTACTCTTTCTAGCATGATCTTCAGGAGTAGGGCCATTTATTTGTCGCTCCAAATAAACATTTTGTTACCACTTTTCGTATTCGAAGCCATTTTGTTGTCAATCTTCCTACAAACTGGCGCTATCAACGCTATCTTCTTTGTGTTGCTAATTACATAAGCAATACGCATGTGCGTTCCTCCCTAGGGGCCGATCTGGGATCGATCCCGTGTAAACACATAATGTTTTGGGATCGATTCCGTGTAAATGCAAGCGGAATTTACGGATCGACCAAGTTTCTCCTGTGTAAACGGGGTCTTTATTATCACGAGTCTATATCTGAGAATATGGATTAACCCAAAGAAATGTGGAAGACAATCAATAAACCCCTGGGAACACTTCATATTTAACAATCGTATAACACCAGCGTAGCTACAAGAATAAGGAATTGAACAAGAAAGGTGGAATTATTCCTGCCTTTAACCACCATTTTTCAAATAAAGGTCTTTGACTTGCGAAAAAAATGAATCACGTGATGGAGACAATTGTGTTCAAGTCCTTGCTGGAATAAATCCAAACTTAGTTTTGAATTTAAAAGTCTTTCAGAAGAAAGTTCCTTTAATGCTTTTGTCAGGCTAAATTAAAAATTAAAAGTCCCCTGATCCAGAAAAGTTTCACTTCAACTATCAAAAAATACTGCACGACAATTATTCAAACAATCTTTTGGTCGAACATGGATCGAAAACTCTATGTTAGGAAATATATATGCCCAGTTGTAGATCGAAATATGCCAATCAGAAACGCGAGCACATGACTGTTGAGGTTGACCAATCAGTACCGCTTGCCTATTGAGAATTTTACCAATGGAGTCCTAAGGTAAAAACGAACTCCTTTTGTCTACACAACAGCGGTTTTTTGTGCTTATGTAGATAGATTCCAAAACTGCTAGATGGAACGACGATCGGGCTTTACCAATAATCCGAAACATGTCGCCATTTAATTTTTTTGCACAATCTGGGTTTTCTAGTAAATGCTGCGCGATAGCAGAATCCACAACTGGGTATATATATTTCCTAGCGTAAAGTTTTTGATCTATGTCGAAATCACCTCAGTAAATTTTAACGTTGTAGTTGACTGGGCAGACATTTGTATAACCCAAAAGGGTTGTTAAATATAAATGTAATGATTATGATGATGATGTTCTGACGTTTTAAACTCTAAAGACTGTCAGACGAAAAGCTTAAGTTTACTCAAATGTTTGCTTTTTTCAAAGCAATTAGTCAAACCTTTGGCAACAAGCCTTTTGGAAAATTACTCCTGTCATTCCTTTGTACAAGTCTTTAGTTACATCTAATGCGCTCGAGGTACTGCTTGTACAGGAAAATGACAGTGCTAAGAGACGTGAGGTGAACGGGATTCAGTGGTACATTGAAGATCATTAAAGATGTTGTATTCTAAATGGATCACCTTCGTCAAATTCGACAGGACGATTAGGAATACCACAGGGATCCAACTTAAGCCTATTGCTTTTTGTCCCTTGTTTGAATGATTTTTGCGTGAGCTTCAGAAACGCTTGCAAATAAATGCTAGGGTAGATTTGGTAGTTGAAAAGAGAGTTTTGTCTGCGATAGACCCATAGAATTTGCTTCTCAGAAGGATTATCGAACGATTATATTTCTTGAAGAAATGGGTCTTGCATTTCGTGGTTCATCGCTCCGGATCGGAATGTTTGGAAAGTTTCTCGGAATCTTGGAACTGTTGGCATATTATGGTCAGGAGCAGATCCTGGTTTTTCTGAAGGGTCCAAAACTGGACAACTTAGTGACCACAACCTTCGTGCGCCACGCCCTTGATACAGCTAACTATGGACCACACCCTCAAAACTAATAAGTATGCTAAGCTGATTAAAAAAAAGAAACTTTCAATAAATCAATTTCAAAATGGCACTATATATAGATGGGACTGAACAAACACAGGTAAAACGATAAACACACAAATATACCATTTTATTTCATAAAGTTCAATCATGGCATTTCAATTGTAAGTATTTAGTTAATTCCTCATAACAGGTAACCAGTTAATCATTGGCCAATGTGTCTAAAAATTTAAATATTATTTGTATAAGACGTCTAGTAACATAAAGCCCGATAATGACAAAAGGCCTAGGCCTAATAGAATCTCCAAAATTCTTGGAAAGTCTATTTTTTCTGAGCTATCGAGTGATAAAGCTTGACAACTAAAGATTATTCAATTTCTGTCAAACCAATTGTTTCATCAATAATAGGAAACTGTTTTCATTTCAAATGACTGATACCAACAACTACAGCAACGTAAACAATGACTGTCATGCTCGGGGGGGGGGGGGTAATACCTTAGCATGTTTGAAGGTACTGGGACGTGCCATTATTTAGGGGTGCCTTTTTTCTGAAAAGTGCGAAATTATCGGTATCACTTTTTGAAATGTCGTAAATCCTCGAATTGGCCCCCCGCCTCGAAAAAGCCCCCCTCGAATAGGCCCCACCCTCGAATAAGCCCCCACCCTAGAACAACAAATTGTCAATAACCCCCCCTCTCGAATAATCCCTCACTGCTAGCGTAAATTCTCAAATTGGACCCCTCAATTTGATGATTTTTGCCATCTGAAGTCGCCGATGGCGTTTCATTGAATTACAACAACAAATTCATACTTTTGGTAGTAATTAATTAAATGCTCATAAAGAACATTCTACTAAAATAAACGAGGTCTTTTAACAATGTCTTTTTAATGTCAACAATGTTTCTATAAGCCCCCCCTTGTATAAGCCCCCCTCGAATAAGCCCCCATCCAAAAATATCAAAAATAAATAAGCTTCCAGGGGGCTAATTTGAGGATTTTCGGTATGTGCGATACGATATGCTATACATGGGTACGATACGAAGAAACATGTAGAATTATTAGAAGGGATATTTAGCATTAACAAAATGAATGACCAGTTAGAAAAAATAAACTATGAAATGTGTGTAATATTGAGATTTGAGGCAAAGGTCAAAATTTGTTTAATGATTTTTATGCGCTTTAAAAATGTTATTTGCTTTGCAGAATTATGGGCATAGTTTTTATCATGTTTGCGAATTATGGGTCACATTTGAGGCATTATGGGTCCAAATTTTAAACCAAAATGGCACGTCCTCGTCAAAAATTAGGCTTAGCTTAGCCCCCCCCCTCCCCCCCGAGCTGTCATGTATAGCCCGACCAAGTCCTGTATCCGTTAAGGCCTGTAACACAGGAGGTTTCAGGTCTCACTAACGACGACAATGCTCAAAGTTCGAACGACGTCAATGATTTTTAAACCCAGATCTCTCATGAAAAGCCTCTTGCTGTCTTCAACTCTTCATCTTGACTTTCGCCGAAAGCTTAGCTTTCAAAAGTGACATTCAGATCTTCCAAAGCCTCGATTATGACATTTTGAACCGTGATCAGTAGGCAACTCATCAGAATTTAAACCTAAAAACATCGAATGGGTTGTTAGTGATCATGGTAGTGATCAATTTTGCCGCTCGATTTGGCAGTTTTTTGCAATTTTCCGATAATTGACACACCAGCATTACCCCAAACCGGGCAGCAGTATCTGAATTAGGGCTCTATTAAGCTTCTATACATTGTTTGAATTGTAGCAGGCGGAAGATATTGTTGTGCATAACGAAGAATGCCAATACACATGGATATCTTTTTTGTGACAGTGGTTAAATTATTAGTCCATTTGAGTTCTTGATCCACAATAACTCCGAGGTATTTTAAATCACTTACAAGTTTGACATCTTCAGAACCTATTCTAAACTGCGGCTTAGGGGCGTCAGGAGTATCAATCTTGCGTAGCTTTTTGTTGCTTCCGATTATAATTGCTTCTGTTTTTGCAACGTTTAAGGACAATTTGTGAAATTTTTAAAGCTTTTTTGCATCCCATTTTATCCAGCACGTCAAATAACGCCAGAAAAAGTTTCAGCTTTATAACTTGTAATGTTAAGAAGGTTGTAGTGCTATACCAGAAAGAGGACTGGGTACCAGTACCCCAGTCCAAAATAGCTTTTGGGGGCTTTTTTGAAGCTTGATATAAACTTCATCTTATTCAGCATATCGGATTGTGTACTTGTACCAAACTTCATGCTATTATCATAACATGCACAATTCTACTGCTATGCGCCTGCACTATCAGGAAACTCGAGAAAGCAAGTTGTTTGACAAAACGAAAAGTTCCACAGCCACAACTTTTTCTTATAGATCAGATCATATTGCTCTTTTTAAATCTTTTGCTCAGTTTTGCATGTTCTTTCCGATAGTATCATCAGATTTGAAAAATTCGAAAGTTGAATGCTGACCGTGCATTTTTTATGCTTCCGGAAACGCAACTTCCGGTCATTTGCTAGAATGTTCTGAGGGCTTAAAATGATCAGTGGCCTTTACTCTTATGATTTAAACTTTAAATCTTCCATTACCCAGTTTGCTAGATTTTTATGCAAAATTCTCTGTCTATTGTGGGGACAGAAAAAAATCTCAGCCAATGCCATTTACTGTCAGAAAATGCCATTTCACCATCAGGTAACACAAATTTTAGATGATTATTTACGATTATCTTTTTGAGCTTTGGTAAAGATGGCAACTTTCAGTGAAAAAGTAATCAAAGATTTCAAAGTTTATTTCTTAAAGAAAACAAGATGCTTAAAAATTTGATGATTACTATCCTCAAAGTGATACTTTATAAGATAAGAAGTTAAAAAAGTGAAGTAAATATAAATTTTATTCTTGAAATATAAGCAAAATAGACCTTAGTCTGTTAAAATAGACCTTATTGTCTTTTTTCGCGTTACGCCGATACGCAGTGGCTCAGTCTTTATTTCTGATTATTCTGTGGAACTCCTCACTGCTGATGGTGAATCCTCCGCAGTATTTTGGGAAATTCTTTGGTAACGAAGGAGCCTTTTCTGGTGCCACTCTAATGACAACATCCATTCCTTCAATGGCGTGCATCATTTGATGACAGTGCATTAACCATTTACCTGGGTTTTCGGTACGGATGCGCACCACGGTGTACCCTCCGTATGGCAGTAACACCGCATCCTGGATTGGGGGGTTCTCAAAGTTGAAAGTTTTCACGACATCAGTATAGTTACTCCATCTCATTTTGCGACAGAGTTTGTCAATGCAATACAAATCGCTGTTCTTTCTTATCATCTCGCCAGTTGATTGGTCGAATTCTGGGAACCCGGTTTTCAACACAACAAAGTCGTACCCATGCAGGTGAATGGTGTGATGATGACCATGATCTTTGCTCTTGTCTCCATAATTTGCTAGCACCATCTGTACAGTCTTTTTATATGGCAGATCTGATGAAGAAATGATTAACCCAATTAAAGATGTAAATCAAAAACAGTGTTACCAGAAAGATGTGCGATTCTCTTCTTCATATGCTCCATAGCAAAAATCTTTATTGTAAATTGGGCTATCATGTCGAAATATCATTGCCTGAATACCTTCATGTTGCTATATTTTGTCACAGATTTATTTGTTGCTTCCAATGAATAAGACAAGCAGGATGCAGAAATACATTGTTCTCATTTAAGCGCAATGAATCACAACGATTTGGAGTCGACATGCGAAGTAAGTTTGCAAGGAAATGAGAACAACATGTTTTTGCTCATAGACGTAGAGACTGGGATACAGGGGGCACGTGCCATCCCCACTTTTTGAAAAATCAGGAAAAATGCCCCTTTTCAGCTTTACCGAGTTGCCTTTTTTTGCCAACTGCATAACCAAAAAGTGCCCTTGCAATGCGCTGATGCTATACGAAATGAGGAAAGCGAGCTCGAGGCCGGGTGACCTTCCTGCTGATCGAAAATCTTTCCATGGGAACTGCTTTTAAAAAACATCAAAATTGCAAACTCTAGGGCCTAGAGCCCTTCGAGGTAACCAGTTTAATAATGCAATGAACAAGACATAGCAAAATTAAACCTAAAAATTGTACAACGTTTTAAACGATAGCAAGGAAATGACTGCAAGAAATTTGTTGCCAGTTATAGATAACCCTTCTCTGCCTGCTTTGTTTTTGTCTCAGGGCACTCAGGCAAAACCTCCCTGCCCGGGAAGTTGAAGTCTTGCAAAGCTAGACAGGGCAGAGGCAGGAAGGGGAACTGGTTCCTAGAAGAAGGGGGCCTTTTCTACAGGTTCTTAAGAGGGAACAAGTAGACAATGTGTAATAATTTATAAGTAATAAGTAACAGAGGGAACAAGTAATAATTAATTCTTAGCTTACACGATAATTAATTGTATCAGTATCAAATAATTAATTCTTAGCACCTACGACAATTTATTGAAAAACTTCCATTATTAATTTTGTATCATTTAATAGCAATTGAAGTACACCGAATTTAATTCAAGATGCATCAGGCATTAATTTAAAGAATTTTCATCACTGCACAAAACAGCGTAAAACACAGATTTTCGGGGCCAATAGGGTGTGGCGAAGGGTGTGGCTAGGGTTTGATTGGACCTCTTTTGGACGGACCAACAATGTTTACATTGTTTTTAGGGACATTTTCAGTGTACTTTGGCCTAACTACAGCTACCACGTATTATGTATATATCTTACCAGAACAGATCAAACCTGGCCAAAAGAAAACAGAGTAGCAAACCTAATAACAGGTAATTTTTTTTTCATTTCCACCCTATGGAGTCAATATAGTATTTATTTGTGAATGGTGGAAATGGAGTGGAATGCAATTACTGTGTTTGTAAGTTATTGATTGATCCTTAAAAGGCAAATCAACTGTTTCTAGCTGTTGCTTTTCATAAAATGCTGTTTTCAGATACTTGATCTCTAATCATGTTACATATTTCAATGTTCTAAGAACTGTCCAAAGAACAGCCTTACTCTATATTACTTACTTTTTATGTAATATGATGTTTGTTTATATAATACAAATATGTAACTGCTGCTAATCTTTCAAAACTATACCTGGCTAGCTTTATGGATACCCAAACCAAAAAGAATTTTTATCCAAAAATAAAACAAAGATAGAAACATGACCAGTGGCGGGGTGGCTATGTTTTCCCTGGGGTGGCCAAGTTGATTTGCGCCCTATCTATATATCGTGGTTATATAAAAGCATCTGTTTCTAGAAGGGAAATCGATTTTTGCAACTTGATTTCAAAATTTCATAAATAAGTTTTGACTAAAAATGCTAATATGAATGGAAAAAGTTATGTAATCCTAATATTTGACCTACTCGATCGTGGTTCGGTAAAATATCAAGCTATTTTGAATTGGCTTTATTTCGAGAGTCGGCCATTTTCGAGGAAACAAGAGACATGACTTTACACACTTGACATCTGGGCTTCTTACAACTCGAACTTCTCCTGTTATTGTGTCCCTTCTCCCTCCCACGAGTTAATTTAGCCCTAACCAAGATATCCTTAAGATTCTTACACCTCCTAAAAGCAACTACTGGTGGCACAGGAAACATCTCCTTGTGCTCTTCTGAACCAGTTAGCAAGGCATGGTGTTTCCTGGCAATGTTCCCCAATCCATTAAGTGCCGGATGGTATGCAGTAACGAATGGAACCCTCTCAGCCCTCCCATCGTTGGTTTTCCTATTTCCCGCATTTTCCAGAAGAGTCTCCCTGTCTAGCCTACGTACCCAATCTATTTGTTTATCAACTAAGGACTCTTCATACCCCCTATCCTTAAGCCATATAGCGAGATTACCTACATGTTCCTAAAACTGGCGATCATCTGAGCAAATCCTACGATACCTAAGAGCCTGACTATAGGGGACCGCCTTCTTTGTATGCCAAGGGTGACAAGACTTCCTATATAAATACTGATGGGTACCTATCCTCCCCTTCTGTCCAGATAAAGAAAATATCATCGATAAATCTTATCCAGAAGGTTGATGGATACCTTCGCCGACAAGCCCCTTGTCTGGATGAGACTCATCGATGATATTTTCTTTATCTGGACAGAAGGGGAGGATAGGTTGAAGTTATTCATTGACCATCTCAACAGAAGCCACGACACAATTAAGTTTACCAGTGAACATTCTACAGAATCTATTAGTTTCTTAGATGTCACGGTAAAAGTAGGAGAGGGAGGAGTCCTTATGACAGACTTGTTTTGTAAGCCAACTGATACCCATCAGTTCTTACATAAGAAGTTTTGTCACCCTTGGCATACAAAGAAGGCGGTCCCCTACAGTCAGGCTCTAAGGTATCGTAGGCTATATATGTTTCTATAGGCATTTAAGGTAAAAACTACAAAGCCAATGTGTGAATAAAAGTGTAAAATCCAAAATGGAAAAATGAGAAAAATGGAGATAAGGAGTAGTCACTAACACCTGGTTACAGCTTCAAACTCAGATGGGGGGTGGTAGTGCGTGCCCCTTGTATGTTTTGAGCAATTAGCCTGTAAATGGGTAGAAAATGATAAAAAAGCAACTCATCAGCCAGAAACCCACGAGAGACATTTCGGGGCTTTAATTCGGTATGTCCATTTCTTGTAGGCGCCCCTCGCAATCCTGCGTCCACGATCACGGTTGCAAACGTTAGGAAATACAAACAATATATATATATATATTATAACGATCAATGAGTCGATTGTTCACTCAACTTCATTGCAAAGTCAACTATGCAAAGAAGTATCGTATCATTGCCAGAAGGGAAGTTGGCGCAGCTTTTAGCAAAAACAATCAGTCTTTTGTGGCACAATATGATATAAGAAACGGATATAGTGGCAATAAAAGTTTTGATTGGTAAAAGTGTATTGCTATTGTCACTTTGGCCATTATTTTTCTTCGCATATCAGAGCCCTGTACTCTTACCTTGAAGTTACCTCCACAAGTACGCTAGCGCTCAAACGTGCCTAAGAATTATGCACTTTGCGACTGAAGAGATCTTACAAATCATGTCACCAAAACGCAACGTAATAACACCACAATTTCCAATTAAAGCAATTTCAAATAAAAGCAAGTTAAACAAAGAATTGCTATCTTTGTCGCAATAAACAACTAAATTTCACGGCTCGGCGTTTCTGGCCTCAGGTGCTGTAGGTGAAAGGTTCCAAGATCATCGCATCAGTTAATATTGAAAACTTTATAACGGTTTTCATTCCAAAAAGCGACTCAAGTATATGAAATAGAACTACCTAACGGCCAATGGGCTAGCGGATGTTATGGAACTACCTACAAAGCATCAAAAGAGAACTGGCATTCTTCGCACACAGTGACAGGATTCCTACCTTTAAACCTTTTTGGAAACTTGTTAGGGTGCCCTTAAAAACAGGCTTTTTAATCTTATCGAATCCTTAAAGGATGCTTAAAGGATGCCAAATTTCTAACTTTTTTTCTACATTTGGCGCGCCCCAACTACGTTTACTTGAAATAAATTACGATGCTTACCAATATAATGGGTGCACCAACACGCTTTGCCTTTGCAATTGGCTCTTGAGCATTTAGTGTCAAGGGGAACGTCCGAATAAAGGTGATTCTTTGGCAGCACGAATCTGAAGCCATTTATGGAAGCTCCAATAGGAAACGCGAAGTCAAGAAATACTTGCACATCGACATTCTTCACCTTTTCAGCCAGTTCGCGTGCTCTCCCTATGCCTGTAAAACCGTGCGGTGATTTGCAAACTTTTGACTCATCAGGAAATGCCGATGCGGGGCAGTTAAAGATGATACATGGAACTAAATCTGTGCAGAGCTTTGGCAAGGAATACGGCTCGTTATTGCCTGCACCCCTGTAATGCAAAACAGCAAGTGCCTCACCTTGGTCATCCAAAGTTCTTGAGCGTACCCAGTAATTTCCAACATGCTTATTCGCATGAACTTTTACTCTAACTCTTTCACCAGGATTCAAATACACAACATCAACAGTGACAGGTTTTATTTTTCCAACACCTAAATCCACTATTACCATCTGGTGCTGGTCGATAGAAACTGCAAATGTATACTCGACACCGGGATTTAAGATATAAAAGCCAAACCAAGACTTCTCTTCAACTTGAAACCACGGCAAAGGGGCTTTGTTATTTTTGTATTGGCCCCTTCCATTTATTAAGGTGCTTGTGTAAACCATGGAAGACAGTCGCACACCGTCAATAGTTCTCCATGCCCTTGGCTTTTCCATGTGCAGATGCTCGAAGCTGTATGTGTATTCTGCTGAACCTGCAATTGCACCCTGATTGGTTTTCTTGTAAGGATTTGTAATCATGTATTCGTTAAATGGCAGGTGAAGCCAATGGTTTACCACAAAAGGGTAAAATGGAATCGTTGGTGGTTTTTCGTGGACAATGAACAGCCCAAACAAGCCATCTGCACGCAGTCCTCCAAGGTGAGCATGATACCAAAGTGTCCCTGCTGGGGATGCAATAAACCTAAAAAAGGAAGTGAAGATAAGAAACATCTTGACAAAGCCAGGTGATTTTGCAAATACTTCTAGCATTTACCCTGTAAATACCAGCGAAAAAGAAGCTCAATTTCACGAAATGATTTAAGCTACGTATTTAGTATAACTTTACGTATTTAGTATGATACAGAAAATGTTAAGTAACATGAGAAAAGAACACGAGTTTTTCCTAGCTTGTTATAGTTAAAAAAACCTTATGAGCGGCACAGCAGTTGATGGACAGTTTGACAAAAAGTGAAATGAGGCTAAAATACGGGTGGCTGGGCAGTTTGGTCATATAAAGGGGTTTGAACATGAGGCAAGGACTGTCTGCACAGGCAAACAGGCAAACAATCTGCAGAGACTCCAATGGGGGTAGAGTCAAGGTGTCTTCACTTTCAGCCAAGCCATCTCCTTCTCTATATCAGTGCTTTGCGGCAAGTAGGGCAATACCATGTCAGATAATCCAGGTGGTGCAAAAAATATTATGTAATCGATGTTAGAAGTCAAGGAAACAGCTCACATTGACTTCAATACACAAAGATGCTAATTACCAAAAGTTTAACGTCATTCAACTTTAAGGCATTTCCTATATTTGTATAAAAGGAATGTTACAACGTCCTATACATTTAGTCGCCAATTTTTTCCAGATAATAAACAAAGCGGATGAAGTTGGCCACTAGATGAAAGCAGAATGCAGGATGCAATTATGACATGATATTAAACATATGTCAAAGAGAATTGAAGAGTTACAGCATAAAATTGATATTATAAAATTGAAATTGTTATCACGGCAAATCAGACAGAGAAACGCCTGATCAATGTTGTTGTCCTCTACATCAGATTCTTAAATTTGGAACAACATTAGCATTTTTGGACGCTAAAAATTAATGTATATTAAAGATACCTGTACATAAAAGACGTCATGGGGCTAATAGGACACTGGGTAATGTAAGCGACTCCATCCATCCAAGGTGTATTATGCTGATGAAATCCATGCCAATGAACTGTGGCACTTTTATGGAGCATTTGGTTGTTAACAATAACTTCCACCTAAAAAATGCACAATAATTGTAACTCTGCTCAAATCTCAAATTCGTTGGTTTTAGGTTAAAACTGTCTTAAATATCACACCTATTTATTTTATCAAAAGGCCAGTTGAACTCTGCTATCCACTGCTTTTGTGTGCAAAGTCCATATCATAAACAACGTCATTTTTGTAACACTTCTTCATGATATTTGGCTCTCGTCGACTGGTGACGCAATAAAAAATCTATTTTTAGAATTTTAGAATACTGACCCCATAATTTGCCAGAAAACCACGAAACATTTCCAAATTTGCAAAAACATGAAATATGTTGCAAATCGAACGAGATAATGCCACATAAGCACAGGCACTTTCTTACATCTGGTTCGAAGAAACCCCGGCTCAAAACATATTATGAGCTTCTCTCTCTCTGGAGTATTTTCTCATTGCTGACATGTCTTGTCCAAGATATTCATTTCTCTATGAAACCACATTTCTTAAGCTCCGATTCGCGAGTCTAAACTAGAAATATCTCAGCCAATCAAAAAACAGATTCAGCTGATTTATCATATTTAGAGATAATTTTTGATTTGATGTTCTTTCGGAATTTTAAAATTCTAAATGACTCTTTTTTACTATGTATTTGTAGCTTGATTTTACAGAAAGGCAGCCATGCGAAATCAACTTTGAGCTCATTATCGTAGATAGAGGGGAGACAGAGGTGGCGAGCCCCCCTTGTAAGGCTAAACAGTTATTTTGTCGAAAAGTTTATTGTGTTGTCGGAAAATATCATAGAAGAGCCCATCGGCCATAAACATAAGCCTGCTAAATGTTATGATTTAATGATAACAAAAAACACAGCTTCGTGAATTCATTAACAATTGAATTTGGGTTCTCACAGCATCTACTTTTAAAATAGAACTTACCAAATGTGAACCAAATATGACAAAATGCAAGAGCTAAAAATAGTTTAATTTAGGGTCATTTAAACAAGAATTGACAACTTTCTTAAATAGCCATCATGCAAATATTTCAAAAATGCCTCTGCAGAAACCCTTATAAACACTCTCAAGTTAAGATATACCCTGGGTACTAGGGCCAAAAATTTTTTAGCGCGCAAATAGTTTTAGATCATACAAAAAGTTTTAGATCGCACACCAAAGCCGTCGACGTTGAAGAAAACACAGAAAAATATAAGTTGCATATGGTCAAGGCATATCGCCCGAATGTAAACAAGAAAGTAGACAAAAAAGATGACTGAGTTCGAAAATTATTATGATATATTTTAGTGTCCTAGACAACATCTAATATCATTATATTATTAAAAAATACTGTCGTAATCAAAATTCATTGCTAAAATAATATGCTTTATACATATGTATACAGCATTTTGTAGTAAGTAATTGTTGTTGTAAAATTAAATTTATTGACCGATTGATTGTTTGATTGATTGAACGAGTGGATACCCAATTCTATGGAAAAAGGATGGGAAAGACAGAAAAAAATTGCTTGCAGAGCATCACACATATATCACTAGGATTATAATGGCACAAGAAGGAAAGAAATCAATGTGTCTGTGGAGGCTATGGGCCTCTAGGTGCCTTAACATGCTCTACTCTCTCCTTTCTCTCCTGTGCAGCCTTTTGCTACGCAAGGAGAACAAAATGGACCAGGATGCAGAAAAAGGCACAGGGCAAGCACAGGGGGTAGAGAAGGACAATTTTTATTGATAACAAAAATAATTTTCTGGTTTTCTTGTGGATATATATTTATCCCATTCGCATAAACACAGTGCCATTTTCACAAGGTCTAAAGATATTTTGTATACACGAGAAATGGAGGTAAAAATACCAAAAAATTGAGGTAAAAAATTGAAGGGAAAAAGTTATAAAGCTTCGAAGTTTCTCAAACCAGGGGGTAAAAACCATGATTTCCCTACGATTTTTTAACTGAAGAAAGATAAAAACTTGACTTTAGCATGCGCAAGGGTCTTATTCATACTATAGAAAATATACTATATTCGAGTATCTTGTTGAACGCAATAAACAATCAAGTATTCTAAAGCTAATTAAAAGCCATATTATTTTAACATTTACCCCCTGGCCCTGTATAATATACGGTTTCAAGTAGTTTTTTGACAATAATCGTACTTCAAAAGCAAAATGTAATCTGTATCATGCAGCGAAAATGTCCAATTTTTCACTCCAATGGTGTTGTAGCCAAGGGTAGCCAGAGGTGGATGACCCCTGGTTTGAAATTTGTAGGATTCTTGGGAAATTGTCGTGTACATTTCTAAACAGCAGGCCAGAACAGACGTTTTATATTTCGCGCATTTTCGTATGCTGGTGTTCATCAAAAGCTTGCCTCTTGGACTGGAGCTCCCTAAAATTTGAACATCGCTTTCTTCTTACTGATAAACTGAAGCCCGTCTTATTCAACAGCTTATTTTTGTTAATAGGCAAAATTGGTTGAAATAATTTCTTCTCTTTAATTCGAAAATGCCCCAAGGAATATTGCATGAATCGTTTTTGATATGATTACCAATAAGAACAATTCTGACGTTCACAATCCTCACTACATTTACACAGCACTGTACACTTGAGAGACGCTTTTACGCATTTGCATAAACTTTTGCACCCCTTCCCCCTTATTACACCTGCAGCAGATCAGCTCCTGACAAACCTTGGAGGAGGAGACATTCCTTCGAGGAAAGGTCTTTTCCTGGAAAACAAATCTTTGATGAATTTGTTATCCTCTGTGCACAAACTTGTTCATACGTATAGACCGACGACAAACCATTCGATTGCTGGAAGAGAAGCATTAACATACAATTTTGATGGACAACTGGAAAATTCTTTGAATGCATCCGTCAAGTCGTTAGTGGCGGAAACTATTAAATTCATCTTGATTTTTGGTCCAAAATATTATCTTTGTGTCTTGTAAGTGTACCGGTGAGTGTACTAACAACTGTTTCAAAGGTTTTTTAAAGACTTATAGATAAACAGATTATTGATTATATGCAATCTTATTTATCGTCACTTTATGTGGTTTTCGTAAAGGGTACAATGCGCAGCACGCATTAGTTCGAATGCTTGAAAAGTGGAAAACAAGCTTAGACAGGGGAGAAAATGTTGGCGCAATCCTAATGGACCGCTCGAAAGCCTTCGATTGTATTAAACATGACCTCCTTATAGCAAAACTAGATGCTTACGGATTCACACTGCATGTCTTGTTATTAGCTACTTGGAAAATAGGCATCAGAGAGTTAAGATTAATGGATCATTCAGTACCTACAAACAACTGTTTCTTGGTGTTCCGCAAGGATCAGTTCTTGGTCCCCTTTTCTTTAACATCTACATAAATGACTTACTTCTCTCCTTAATGGATACGGATATCTGCAATTACGCGGATGATACAACTCTATATGCGTGCGATAAAAATCTTAATAATGTTATTGCAAGGCTAGAGAATGACTCAAGTATAACTATCCAATGGTTCGCTGATAACTTTATGAAATTTAATACAAACAAATGTAATTTACATATTCTTGGCAGAAGTTCTAATCAGCAGGTCAAAGTTAATGTAGGAGATTCTATCATATAAAACTCGGAAGAGGAAAAGCTACTAGATGTTGAGATAGACAAAAGACTCAGTTTTGAGACACATATCAGTAAGTTATGTAAGAAGGCTGGTAGCAAACTCACCGCCCTCGCTCGCTTATCTGGAAACATAGACGCTAATAAACTTAAAATCTTAATGTGAGCATTTGTAATTAGCCAATTCGAATACTGTCCACTGGTCTGGATGTTCCACAGTAGGCACTTGAATAGTAAGATTAATAGAATACACGAAAGAGCTCTGAGAATTGCATACAAAGACTATGATTCTAGCATCAACACTTTGCTAGAAAATGATGGCTCGGTAAATATTCATGTAAAGCACCTGCGAAATGTTATGATTGAAATGTTTAAAACAAAGGGAAATATCAACCCTCCTTTTATGAGGGAGTGTCATGCTGTTTATAATTTGAGAAATAATAATGAATTTATGGTACAAAGGGTAAGAACAACCATTTATGGAACCGAAACTATCAAATATAGAGAGCAACGTCTTTGGCTCTCTTTACCTCAGCACATAAGGAATGCTCAATCTATTAATGAGTTTAAGAAAGAAATTGAAAGCTGGAATGGCACAGACTGTACATGCAAAATATGTAGGACATTCGTACCACAGCTTGGTTTTTTGTAATTCTACCGTTTTAAATAGCTCAGATTTTTATAGTACTACCCTATAAATTCTGTTTTTAATGGATTATTATGTACTTAAAATTTTATGTATTTAATCTCGTATGTATTTATTTGATGTAGTAGTTTTAACAGTTGGCTTGGATTAGCTCATTTCTTTGTAAATAGCTATGTAGCGCCAACTTTAAATAAATTGATTACTATTATTATTATTATTATTACTATTATTATGCTGATGATGCTGCTGTTGTTACCAGTGGAGAAAAGGAGAACCAACTCTTATTAAACTGCTTTACCAGATGGTGCCAATGGGCAAACTTCATTGTCAGGGTTGACAAATGTGTTACCTTTGGTGTCAAGAAACACTCTACGCGATCCCTCCAATTTCAACCGAAACTTTTCATCTGTAACCAAATAGTGCCTGCTGTCAAAAATGGCGATTCCTTTAAGTATCTTGGTCGTTTCTTTGATTTTGAAATGAGTAACCAAGATCATAAATCTAAACTCGTTTCTCTTTTCTCTACTCTTATGAAGGATATTGACGACTTACCTCTCCATCCTAAAAACAAACTGCTATTATACCATCGTTATATTCTGTCAAAAGTTTCATGGCATTTTACTGTTGCAGATCTACCAAAGACCTGGGTTGTCCAAAACCTAGACAATCTTGTTTCCAATTACATTCGCCAGTGGCTTGATCTTCCTGTTTCTGCAACATTGAGTGGAATAATCCTCTCAAAAAATCAGTTTGGCCTAAATCTACAACTGCCTTCTATCAAATT